CACTTCCAGCAAAGCAGGAGGTGGAAGACAATGCTACTGTGTGTGTGAAGGCACAGAGGAGAACGTTTACAGCAAGCAGTTTCCTCCAAGTCCAACTTCTGCCTTGACAGATCTCTGGAGGGGCTGGTGGGGGAACTGAGTGAGGGAAGGCTGTCCCATCAAGCCAGTATCCTTAGCACACACGGTTGGAAGCATTGATTCCCTTTCAAAAAGGTCCAGCCTCCCTCATCCAGGATCAAGGAGTGCTGCTTCCTTGCCTCCTCCTTTTTCTCTCCAGAGATCTGTCAAGGCAGAAGTTGGACTTGGAGGAAACTGCTTGCTGTAAACGTTCTCCTCTGTGCCTTCACACACACAGTAGCATTGTCTTCCACCTCCTGCTTTGCTGGAAGTGGGCACCGGACAGGGAAACGCTAATGATGTCTGGGATTGAATGTCTCCTTTAGCGTGCTATGCATACATACACACACACACACACAAACAAACACACCATTTCAAGCTTGTAGTCTTTTATCCATATCTGAGCTTGTAAACTGCCAATCATGCCTAGGCTTGGGGAGAAGGCCCTTTCCTTTCTCTGTAAATAAGCCTCCAAATATAGAATGTGGGGGGTATGCCCGTGTGCACATGTTTGGCTGCCAGCAGTTTGGAGAGGTGAGGAGCTTGTGAGGCACCAAATTGTCCTCACATTGAGTTAGCCAGTGAGACTTATTTCGCCCTGACCCAGCAGTCCCAAGTCAACTATGCCCAATGAGCTGCGTCAAGCAGGCCACGGCCAACCAGTCATACCCACCTAGTTATGGTGACTTGGCTACTGGCCTTTTGAAGGCAACCATAATGCTAATGCAGCCCTCAATGAAATTGAGTTTGACCCTGCTGTTGTAGTGGATCTTATTTTCCTGAATTTGCCTTTTGTGTGCAATGGGGTGCTGCTAGAGACCAGAAAAAAAAGTATGAGCTGAAAGTCTGCCAGTTAATTTGAACTGCAATGATCCCTAGGTAGCAAGATCAGTGACAAGGGACTGTGGAAATTATAGTTGTGGATACATAGACAGTTGCAGACTTCCTATCTTTGGTCTACTGTGATTGATGACTGTCTCTGTACTGTTCAAAACTCCCCCATACCTCTCTGCTCCCTCTCCTTCCCACTAAGTGCAACAGATTTTGTCCTCTGTATTTTACCCAGTGGGCTTCTACAGAAACATGTTCGCTGATGATATAAATATGATTTTTTTTACACTCAGCTGCAACTAATCAGCCGTTAGTAATAATGGCGCTTGAAACATAATTAATCAGTTATCACTCATGAAATTCAAAACCTCCTAAAGATTGATTTTTATCAGGAGGCAAACATCCTTTTCAAAACTCTTTAATGAAAGCAGTGCTTCTAATCATGTGTGGTTTCCCAGGAAACTGCAATGTGGAAAGTAATCCATTTATAGGTCAAAGAAATGCTCTTCTAAAATGTATAAGGACATTATTCGTATAATTTCCAATCATCACAGTATTAAGTTAAACACACCTTGAGAATATTAGTCAGGGAAAATAAGTTTAAAGGAAGTACTTGTACTTGTACAGGCTGCATCCCAAGGCTTCCCAATTCAAACTTTGTTATCTCTGGCTAACACAACTTTCTCAAATTATAATGTCCCTCGGGTATTTTGACCTTTAACTTTCATAAGTATTTGTTCACAATAAATGATTAAATAAAAAATAAATAATTCCTATACTGCCTGGGAATTTTAGGAGCTGAACCTCAACATTTGAAATGATTGCACTGATGGGAAAAAGCATACAGTGTTAATGAACCCTGAAACTTAGACATCAACATTAGGTGCATTCCCTTCTTTTCCGCGGAGAACGAGACTGGCCCAATTGTGTTGTCCAAAATGACATCATACGATTCAAAGCCCATTACTCCACATTCATTTTCGGCGCATGCTCACTGCGCTCAATTATACCCCACCCAAATTATTATTCCTAAACTAATCGCGTAGGCGGTTAACGCTATTGTATATGGGCAAAGCGCAGGCGCAACACAGAAAAGAAAGCATCCATGAGCTAAAAATGGGCAACAGACATGCGCGCTAGGCAACTAATAAAAACAACGACGTGAATGTATGCCACAGCGTGAACGCGTCTATTAAGACTCACGCATGCGCTGTGAAGGGTTAAGAACTCGTTTTGTAACTGGCGCAGGCGCACACAGAAGCTTAAGACCGCAGCCCTACTCGGTAGGGGGAAAATATACCTCAGAGTTACGTCAGGAAAAGACGCCTTTGTGCACGGGCAAACCCAAACCTTTGTCCAGGAGGAGTCCCACTTTAAAGGAGCAACAACTGGGGTCTCTTACTTACCTTCCGCGCACACCCTTTCCTTCCCCCTTCGGCCGTCTTCTTTTACGATTCACCCGCGCGCGCCGCCGCCACCGCCGTGATTCCATCCATCTTGAATTTGACGTCATCCCACACCAGGGATGAAGTCATCGTTGGGAACACTTATCACGTGCGCATCTTTTCGATTGGTCGAGGTTAGACGGATGGAGGAGGGGGAACGCGCCCGATTATCAGGCTGTGGCGGGGGGGGGGGGGTGGCGACGCGGCTTACGACGAAGAGCCCTGAGGGGAGACTCCCCTCCTGCGCGGTGGTTCCCTTCCTCTCCCCTTTGGGAAGCGCCGCCGGGCTATGGTGCGACCGAGACTACGACGCGAGTGGTAGGAGAGCCGCTGCCCGGGAGATTGCGGGGCGCCGAAGCGGTGCGGGGTGACCGCTACAGTTGAGGCTGAGAGAACCGGGGCAGGCGGTCCCGGGTATCCTGTGCCGAAGAAGGATTTGGAGAGGACGAAGCTTTGGTCGGGCAGAGGTTGCAGAAGCAAGTTTTTAAGCACACGGTTTTCGCCTCCAAGATGACCGATTTTCCCGAAGGAAGGCAGGCGAGGGACTTCCAAGTCCAGGCCTTCAAATTGGGGGGAAAGGCGAGAGTTTATAGTGTTTTTTTTGTGACAGCCGCTCGGCCTCTTCCAGAATGCTAAGTTTAAAAAGAAAAAAGTTTACAGCCTGTCTAAACAAACAGAATAAAACCGATTAAGAACTAGGAAATCTATACTTGTCTAAAATAAAGCAGATTCAACCTACAGCCCTCAAAACAGTCAGAAGTCCCGTTGAAAGGTGGCAGTGCTGCTGAATTCCGTATTTTGAGAAAGCCACTCTCCGGTGTTTTCCCCACAATAACAGGAGCGATCTGATTCCCTACTAGTAACATCCCACTAGTATCAATGTGTCTCCGTTTTTAATATATAGATATTAAATCTATCGTTGAGCTTTATTTCATAAGCGCTCTGAACCAGCCACAATATGTAGAACTCGTTAAATTTCTCATGATACATTCTTCATACAAGTTAAAGCATTTAGGTGCATTCCTTCCCCAGTTTTGATACATGTATAGTATGCTTTAGATCAGGGGTAGTCAACCTTTTTATACCTACCGCCCACATTTGTATCTGTTAGTAGTAAAATTTTCTAACCGCCCACCAGTTCCACAGTAACGTGATTTATAAAGTAGGGAAGTAAATTTACTTTATAAAATATATAAAGCAAGAGTTACAGCAAACTCCTACCGCCCACCATGAAAGCTGGAATGCCCACTAGTGGGCGGTAGGGACCAGGTTGACTACCACTGCTTTAGATTTTGCTTCATTTCCCCCCCCCCCCCTTTGGATCATCTCATGCATTCCTTAATGAGCAGGTGAAGTAGTCTGATATACCCATGTTTAAAGACCTATTCATAATTCATAGTTATGGACTATACAGTCAAAATCCATTGCATGAACAACAAACCGGTCGTTTTGGAACTATCTTGCCTCTTCTATGTTACCAATGGGATCTGAAGTGTTTTCTGAACATAAACTTTCTGACAATCTTTGTTCCACATTCTGCAGTTGTCTGGATTGTAAAATCTTGACTGTTATGATAAAAATGCAAGTGTTTCATGGCTGGATTTTTTTTTTAACCATTGCCTTTTTCTGGTATTGGAGTATGAATGTATCTTTTCCAGTCCCTTGGCCACTGTTGGGCATTTATAAGCTGTTTTGTATTTAATTATATTCAATATTCTTAGGCTGAAATTATTATATTTTTTAAATTCTGATTTAAAAGCTAAAATTTGAGGCATACCAATTACAGTTACAAATGGCACAATAACCTGATTTTAACTTAAAACTATGAGATTAATATATGTCAGTTTCTTAAATTAATTTTACAATGACTGTAAATCTATTCTTGTTCCTTTTAGTTTTTCCCGTGGTTCTCCTTTGATTGTATGTGTAAATCTAATAAATAAATAAAAATAGAATTACAGAACTAAACTGATGATATAGCAGCTTATTCACTAAATTTGAGCTAGACATACCGGAAACTAAAAAATAAATGGTATCTAAAAATGTCCCTGAGTACAGTATTAATTAATATAGAAAAACATTCATTCCATGGAAAGCCTTCCATTCAAAATTATTTATATTGCTTCAGGTTTTTCATTTGTTAATACATATTTTATAGGGAGAGATCTTATGGCCCATCTTGGGAGAGATGGGCCATAAGATCTAAAATGCGATTTTTGCTAATCATTTTAATGGATAAAATTGCTCATATGTGCTCTAGATTAGCAACCAGGTTGATAAAACCTGATGAGATAATATCTTTTGCTGTTATCTGAAACTTTTTGAGGCTGTGCAACCCAAGCTAGTAGTAGAATTCTCTTGATCCTAACTCTGTCATTTATGTGCTTGACCCTCTCCTTATGGTTAGTTAAAGCAGATAGAGAGAAATCAAGGAGATGGGTTCAGGCAGCAGACAAATGGGAAAGTGCCAGCAGCCTCAAGAGAGGCACAGCCCTTCTCATGGGACCTGCTTCAGTTTCATTATTAGCAGATAGGTGAGCATAGTGCAGAACAAATTCACCATGCAATAAATACTAAGAAGATTAACAAGTACTGTGCTATACCTATTGTCCTCAATGGGAATGTGACGGGACAACAGTTACGTAGAACTGTAGAAGAAATGGTTCTTTTAAATCTTTGGCAAACAGAATTCACTGAAACTCCTTTGATTGCTTTCAAGAATGATTCATGGCAGGACAGGAGTGAAGAAAGTATGGCCACTTTCTATAGACACTAAAGTTTGTAGCTGTTTTTATAGTGTCATCCATAGTATTTGGGACTGCCTATGAAGACTCAGGGTAAAAACATTTTGTAGCAGTTCTGCTGTTTCCTGAATGGGTTCAGTTAGTAGTTGTGAGAGGAGGGGGAGGTACAGCCTACAGGTATTCCATTATTATTGTGTGCTTCTAAATTTGGTCCTCGTCCCCAAACTTGTTTTACAATCATAAAACTAATGGGAAAGATAACCAATGTAAGATACCATCAGTATGAATATTTGTTAAAAGATACAAAAGATAAACTGAAAGAAACAATGAAAGACTAAAGACAAACAAACAAAAACCTGAACCAAGAAATATTAATAGGATATTAATATTAAAGAAACCTGTTAGGGTTCTGACCAATGCCTTAATTACATGAATATCAAGCTGAAGTTCAAAAGAAATCCAGTTATTTATTAGGAACGTAATGTTGGCATGTACCAAGTGAAGCCAACTCTGACCTCACTTAATTCACGCCTTGGCTCTGACCCTGTTTCCCCCTCCCCCCCAAGGTGTGTCATCAGTCACATTCCCCAACGAAGCAATTTTGCGGGTTTTAGAGGTCTTTCCCTCTGGCCACTGTGGATCTCCATGAAAATGGCCTTGACATTTGCTGGCTGGAATGTACTTTGTTTTGACTGAGGTGCAAACTCCTTGATACAGCTGCGAGGCTCGATTTCCCTATCGCCTTATGGCAACTCGAGAGTCGGTTGGAAAGGCTTCAGGAGTTGACAAAACCACACAAATGAAATAATAGCAATACCAAAGCATAAGATATAAATTATTGGAGAGCAACTTCACAATTTGGAAGAGCAACTTCACAGTTTGGAAATCCTCTAACACATGACCCTGAAGATGGAAGCTATGACCAGTAGGGCCTGTGCCCAAATTCAGTTGTGCACCCTGTACAATAGGAGGCACTAATGATTTGTTCACTTCACATGTAGCTTACTATAATTTTCATAGGATTGCCTTTGAAGACCACCCAGAAACTTCAAATAATACAAATTGCAGAGTCCCATCTGCTTATGAGACAGACATGTTATCGCTTTGTAACTAAACAATTCTGCTAGAAGAGTTGCTCTAATTTGTGGTTTGCTTCTGAAGGCAGTTATGAATGGCTTAGGGCAGATAACTAGGGAGTCTACAAGATCTCATATTCTCAACTGTTTCTACTCAACAAGCCTGAGTGAACAGAGAGTGCCTACTGAAGCTTCCACCTACCAAGAAGTAAGGCAGCCAAGATATTCTCTCTGACAGTTCTCAGCTTTGCCCCCTGAGATAAGAGTAGCTCCAATCCTCATTGCCTTCCAGATGTTGGCTGTTCTGGAAGGCCATGGGGACTTGGGGAGTAGTTAATGACCATTGTACAATATAAAGTTAAAAATGATGTAACATAATGTAATATAGTTTCAGATTATTGGGTTTTATGGATCCTATTGAATTGGCTCTGTTGCCTTTTGAAGAGCCTTGTCAAAATGGAAGGAACTTCATGCATTGATAAATATATAAATAATAACATGTCCTTGAATTTTTAAACAAATGCAAGACATAGTAAGTGGTTTAGGGGCATTCCATAAATCTACATAATTTATAATTCATTTGAAAAAGACATTTTAATTTTTTTTTGTAAGAATTGTTTATGTAATATATTTTAACCGAAAGCAGGAAGCTAGAAACAATAAACAATTTAATAAGGTGCTGTGGGAATTTCTCATGATCAGGCTTATTAAAGGTAGAGTGTTAAGTGATCAGAAGACAATTCAAAAGATTTAACTATGTGGGCTATATGCATTTTGCCAAAACAAAAATGGAGTGTAACTCAAAAAATGTGACAGAAGTCACAGATTTGCTCATGAGTTTGAGTATACTGGTAGGTAGGTGGTAGGTTGTTGATATAGAAAAAAGAGACACAAACCCACATGAACATACACAATCTGCAACACCATACCACACCATGACCTGATCAGATGTACTAAGTTTGCCCTCCAAATGTTATCTTTTGATGGGTAATTTCTTTACTCTCCAATTTTATATTTAAATCAGAGTAGAAAGTAGCCAGAGTATTATCCTTTGTAAAATGGGACAATGGTTGTTCTCATATTTACAGAAGTTCGTATGTATTCAGCATAACACTGAGATACCCAAGATGATACTTTCTCTTCCTTTCTTTTTTTTACAAGTCAGTTTATTTTTATCTCCACCAACCTAATCACTGAATATATTAACATATTTGAAAAATAGATATATAGATACTGTTTTCCAAAACCTGTTTTGAATTCCCAATGGAATACTCTTGATGTGTTTCCATGGCACTGGTGCATGATTCACTATGGTTACCATAGCAATAAAATGCACAGTATCCTCTAGAGATATGAAGAACTATTTTTAATGCAACCAATATGATTCCTTTAAAGATTTATTTTATCTCTTAATTAAAATTATTTTTCAAGGCTGCATTTGTATATGTATCCAGCACTGATAATGGGAACAGAAAAGAAAAGCAGAAAATTTTATTAATTTTTCTTGTGTGTTATTAGATAAACAAGAAAAATGGAGGATTAATAATATCAAGTCAGAATTGTCTGTAACTTTTCTTTTAAATGTTGTCTCAGGTGCTCCTTAGATGTTAATTTTCTACATAGTTCCTTATATTGTATACTTTTATAATCATGGGAAAGACAGCAGAGAGGAAGTGCCTGATAAAATATGTGCTCCCCAAAGACCTTTCTCAAAAATACAGTCCCAAGTGGAAAATATTTGCATACTGTAGATTCTAAAGACCTAAAGCTACTGAGATCATGATTACACAAGATATAAAATAGCAGCAGAACCAATTGATTCCTTAAGGCTACAATCCTAGGGAGAAAGTGCCACTCAGCACAGAGGAACTAACCACTTTCAAATAAAATTCTTCTGTTAGTAGTCTTTGATCAGAAGTATTAATTTTAAAAAATTCTAGATTATGTTGAAGATGTTGCAAATAGACAGTACATATTACCACCTCTAGAGGCAATGGTTATTGGATTACTGATATTAAGACTTGTGGCCATAGTCCCTGCCCCCTCTCCTGAAATAAAAATGGTGATATATAATTTAATTGTTCTAATTAGCTGTCAGATTTACTATAGCAAAGCAGTAAAAAAAAAACCAAATCTTTAATCCAATGTATATCAAGATGAAAAAAGGTAAATATTTTCATATGTGATCTAGAATTTATGGTGCTATGAGAGAATACAAGGTTTAACTGCCACTTCTTTTGTGGCTTTTCTTGAAATTTGATTGCTGAAAATTTGTAAAGTAGTGTCTTTATGCAGAAATATAAT